AACTTAAATAGACAAATAAAAGAGATGTTTCACCTTTCACCGTTTTACAGTAGTTTAATTCAAAAGCTTTTCAGAGCGTTTTTACTAAACCTATTACATGCCAACTAAAATATATCAAAAGTAGACAGGTATGTCATACTGTTACTGATTAGGCGACTCTGACTTGATGTCCGATGATCTCCTTACTCAGCTGGTATTCAACCTACGCGTGAAATAAACACACGTTAAGTATTACTTAGTGAGGCATACTTAATCATAAGCAACTTATACACATAAATAAAGGGTAACAATTCTAATATCGAGCAACTCTTTACAATTTATTGTAAACCTTATAACTTTGCACCATTGGTGTTATTATGGTAATTTACCCACTTTCTGTTCATGTTCATTTATTAGAATGCACAAGTAGTGCCTATACGGTAATTCATCAACTCATGATGAATTCCGTGGTTTGCACACATAGTGTCTGTACGGTGATTCATCAACTCATGATGAATTCCGTGGATTTGCACACAAAGTGCGTGTACGGTGATTCATCAACCCATGATGAATTCCGTGGATTTGCACACAAAGTGTCTGTACAGTGATTCATCAACCCATGATGAATTTCGTGGATTTACACACAAAGTGCCTGTATGATGATTCATCAACTCATGATGAATTCTGTGGATTTGCACACAAAGTGCCTGTATGGTGATTCATCAACTCATGATGAATTCCGTGAATTTGCACACAAAGTGTCTGTAGTACACTTCGTACTGATATACCCATGTAACATGTTTTTAATAATATCTACTTATAATTCTTAATGAACTTAATGAATGCACTCACCTGACTTTCCTCGCTAAGTATCCAAAACGTAAGGCTGATTACTCCGGTACTTTGTCTTTGCCCTTAGTTTTGCTTGTCTCGGGAGCTTGGTTCTGATCTACTCAAGATCCATTAAAACATGTACCATACCCAATGTTAGTATATTTCCTAACCATTAACTTTCTATATCAATATCAACCTATTTTTAACATTTCTGGTTCCAAAGTATCGATACTACTACCCTGGTACCGATACTTCTATACTATAGTACTGATACCCCCTTTCGGTATCGATACCAATATTAGGTTCGATGTTGCCTGGCATCGATACCCTTACCATGGTATCGATACTACCATACTATGGTACTGATACCTCCTTCCGGTATCGATACAAATTTTAGATTCGATGTTGCTTGGTATCGATACTCTTACCATGGTATCGATACTACCTCGCCGGTATCGTTACTGATAGTATCAGTACCGATACCCTTGCCCAGATTTTCCAGTTCTTAACCCGATTATTAGCCAAATGGGGCCAAATTTCTTTATATTTACACCCAACAATGCTGTTTAACTCTCTCTACTTATCCATACTAACTTTCCTTCATTTAGTTATTTAAAACATCTAGTATCCCTCAAGAGCATTTGATTCTAAGAATCACACCAAAATTTCTAATTTGTTTTTACACACATCCGATGCTTCTAACCTTTCACTTACTTCTGTGACAAGTCAAATCTACCAGTAAACATCCATAAAAACTCCTATTTTAACATATCACTCAAAAACTCATTTTCTTCAATCTTTAATATCTCATCCATAACTTAGTTTTGATTCCCTTTAATCCTTCCTTAAGCTTCTAGTATAATCAATGCTTCAAAACCCAACCAAAAACGAAGGAATAAACTAGTAAATCGAAAACTCACCTTTGACCTATGGAGGAGAGTTATGCACGGGAAAGAAGAAGGAAAAGAGTTGACCAAGTTACCTCCCTTTTTCCCCTTACTCTTTACTTTAATACCCTAAAAGAAATGAATTTTAAATTCATTTAACTCCAATTGACCAGAATGTCCTTTTAAGCCTTCATTACTACAATTTAGTCTAAACCATTAATCCTAATCATTCTCATCTTTTATCATTTAATCGAATAAATCCTCCTCTTTTTAAATCTTTTCAATAAAATCCTTAATTCAATATTTGGAGCATTACATTGTCGGACAAAAAATATGAATAACTTTGTAATTGTTCATTCTTGAGGACATGAAACAATTCTAGCCTCATTTGCAGGTTGAGGAACATAGACTTTGGTTTTTCACAATTCATACAAAATCTTCTAGAAGTTCAAATCATTAAAAGCATATTTGATTGACAATATTGCTTTCTGGCACTACTTGTGGGATAGGCTTGAATCTTGCTGTGACATTTTTATGCAGAGGCAAACATTATATTAAACGACGACTTCGGATACGAACTTTGCAATATGGAACTGCCCGAAACCTTAATGAACTTTATGATGCTGTTGATCCCGAAGTGGTTCTATCATTGCTTGTTCACAAGGTTCACCCCCTTCCTTTCTCTCTTTTAGCATCTTTCATGCATGTGTCCATGCTTGTGCATTTTATTTCTGAGTATCATCTCTTGAAGTTTATATACATATGATCGGTTCTACAGGTCATATTAGCCTCTTTGGAGGACGGAGTTAGAGAGGGCAGGATGTTGCTTCATGATTGGCTAGTAATCCTCACAGCTCAATATAATGAAGCTTTTAAACTTGCCCAATACAAAAATGGAAGTAGTTCAATGACAAGTCAGGTCGACGTGACTTTCTCGCAATGCCCCCAACTGCAACTTCTGCCTCGGTTGGTATTCGCTTTGCTTCGAAATCCTCTTCTGCGCTTCCATGAAGAAGGTGTTCACCCTGACTACCGTATCTATGTGCAATGTCTTTTCAGGTACACATGGTACTCAAATTTTTTGATCTGGGTTATTCTTAAGCTACACTTGGTAGAATCAGTCTTTGTTTCATTTGGCCTTGCTTGCTGATGCTTGCTTTTAAGCCTTTTAAATCCACTTAACTAGTATAGGATTCAATCTTGAAGCTATCATTCGGATAATTAGCGTAACTGTAAACTCGTAATAGCCAGATTATCTCGTAAGTTCTTACCACTTATCCTTTTTATTTTATTTTCGTTTCTTCCACGTGTGTGGTGCAGTGCACTGGAACCAAGTTCTCTTCACCGTGCAATCTATCCGGTCCTAACATCATATTCAGCACCAGATAAACAAGCCTATCCACGGCACTCCTTAAGTCGTGCTGCTCTCATCACCAGTGGTAGTCCAATATTTTTCCTCGATGCATTCACGACGCTAATCGTCTTTTACTCATCTACAGCAGATCCTAGCCTTCCTTTTCCTCCACCCCAGGACTGTGAGTTCTTCGGTCACTTGCCAGTATAAAAAAGTTGAAATATAGACTGTTTTAGCTTGATTTCTTCTGAGCCGTTGTATGCTTATCAGGTTTGTTGCGGTCTACAATTAACAAATTGAAGCAAGAGCGATGTATCACTCCCAAACTAGTATTTATCCGGGGAGGGCAGGATGATGCAACGGCGTTCGAGAACTATCTCATCGAGGAGCAGGATGTCGACGGAACCGGCCTAACTAGTGTCATGGGCTTTGTATCCTTTCTTGAAGATATCACCCAAAGTGTGTTGGAGTACATGAAATAGAAATAGAAGATCACATGAGCAAGCATTGCTCTACATACATACTGCTAGGGGGCAGATAAATTCATCCGAAAGGAATAGAAATGCCTGAATTTTCACATGGACCAAACTGTTTGTCAAAGAAGATTTCAATCTCTTCGCACTCTTTCAGGAGCTAGTGGATTGTTTAAGCGTTATCCCCACTCTTCAAATTTCGTAAACTATTGTTTTAGGTAATCAAGTTAGAATTTTTGATTAAAATAATTTTATACAATCTATATATTAAATAACAATCATTTATAATTTTAGTTGTTTATCTCTTTATTTATGGTTATGTCAAATGTGTTGTAGATAGTTACCAATATGATTGATTTAATAAACTTTAAGGCTTAAGCATGTTAAAATCTTTTAAAAGTAGAATTTGGTATTACTTACAAATGGTAGTATTTTTTTTATTAATTATTGACATTCGATTTATCAGTTACTTTTAATAAGATATCACAAAAGTATATTATGAGGATGATTTTTTTAATCTAATTTACTTTCATTAATTAATCAAAAGATTTATTTTCATTAAGGAGCGTAATGATTTATCCTGTTAGACCAACTTATAATAATACAATTTCTTTAACTAAAGTTTTTTATTTTCTATGTAACCGTTGGATTATATTTGTGTTTTCATTTTAAGAATTAAATTATCATTTCTATTTTATATCTCGAAAGTCCTTAACATCTTATAAAAATGTGTCATATGTCATGTTTTTACTAATATTTAAAAAAAAATCAAAATCTGATAAATCAAGACATAAATAATAGTTTATGCAACAAAAAAAAAATACGAACGAGGCCTTGGTTCAAAGGTAATGTCGAGGCACTAAATTCTTAATGTCTTAGGTTGCATTCGGTTTTGTTGTGTTATAATATTTACTTCTGGTATATATACATATATTCAAGTTTTTGTTCGATGGTACCTTGTTATGTATACTTTTGGTTATAGTTATCGGATATATTAATTATGTTTGTTTTTGTTATTGTATTTGTTGTATTTCCCTAGAAAAAAAATTAGACACCAAAGTAAATTTTTTATTATCAAAATAATATATAAAAAAAGTTTAGAAATGAAACTAGAACAGTTGGAATAATTTAAGGGTCAAAACTTGAATTAAATCAATCAAATATCATCTACAAGTAACAATTTCCAATCCCATGAAATCCATAAAATAATATTTATAGTTATTATTTATTAGTGGTATATTATCAAAACTCAACAAAGTTCCGTGCCTTAAATAAAATTTCCTACAAGTATAGCGGGTTTGGAATAAAAAAACAAAACAAAACTAAAATCCTCAAACAATAAAGAAAAGATCTGCAGCAAATTCATTCCATTTGTTCATGGTTTTGCCAAAAAAATGTGAAAAAATTTTATCTACAAGTGTAAAGCGTGTTCCTCTATGTTTATTCTGTTGTTCCTCTTTCAGGATTTGACCCGTATTTTGCTTGTTTCTCGAGAAAACAACAACGGAAAGGAAAAGTAAAGGCGTTTCCTTTCTGCAGTTTTACCTCCAAACTTCACACTATAAAGCTTACGCACTTTCTATCTCAGCTGTCAAACCTTGTTGGATTCTATCCCTACAGCCAGAACTCGGGTATCTCCTCTTTCTCTCTCGAAACCCATGATTGGAATGTTCCAAGTTTTGCTTGTTCTCGGGGGAAAAAATGTACTTCCATTTCTGGGAATTTCTTTCTTATTTCATTTATCCAGAGCTGATTTGAGATGAGTATTTGTTTAACTTTACTGGAGTTTTCAAAATTTTAAACTTTTAGTTGGAGGGTAAAGAGTTCTGGATTACTTAATGACTTGGTTGGTAAAGAATTGTTCTCTAATGAAGGAATGCTGCATATTAGGTGCAAAAAGTGAACTGTGGTATGTTACGCAGGAGAGAAAAGCTAGGCCCTAAGTCCTTAATTACTATACCAAAGATGTATTGTTAGAATTTGGTGTTGTTATATTTGCCCTTCTCTTCTATTGTCCTCATAATTTTTAGATAATATTGATAAGAAAAAGAAAAAAATATGTTGTTTCTCGAGTTTGTAGGATAGGGTACACTCTCTGTTATTATCGAGCTATGAATAGGTTTCGAACATTAAGTTAAAACTCAAATTGCAGAAATATATGGAACGCGAGTGTTTGTTTTCCTTCTTGGTGCGTTCAGATGATTTGTTAATCGAGTGTTAGAAGCCTTACATTTTTTTATTTGTAATGTTTAATCCTATTCTATATAACTGCATGAACTATGAAGGCTGAATAAGAGTATAGAAACAGTGGACTATCATATAACTTGTTTTATTGATAGCCAATCAATTTTATTTTCTTCCGAACAAACTATGATAACTGTAAGAATCTTGGTGCTTATTTAGTTTGGGGCTGTTATTATATTTGATTAGGTTAGGTTGCTTGATTTTCATTTTCCAGTAATCTCATTTATTTCCTATTCTGTATATTTGAACTAGTCATGCTTGATTTTATGTTGTAATTTTGTTTTGTCGCTTTGCATTACGTTTTGAAAGAAGCTGGCATAAGCTTAAACATGTCAATATTTTCTTTTTTCTTCGACAGCAATCATATGACTCTTGTTCTGATTTTGAGCAAGTTTGTCCCTTGATAACTTGCACCACTTCATAAGCCTCTTAATTATCATTCAGAAATATCTTTTTCTTTTCTCTTTAAAAACCTACTGCTTAATTATTCCTTTGATGAAAGTCTTTAACCTTGCAACCCCCTTTTGAGTCTTTATCTCATGACACGAGTTTCAATTGAGATACGTATCTGAAAATCCTTGTGGCCATCATTTTGTTTCCTCCTTTCAATATGTGTGTACTTCTTCCCTTGAATTCTTCTGGCCTCTGTGCCTTCTTCAGAATTGCCTTGCAAGCTTATTTAAATAGATACATAAGATGCCGAGGCCAAAGGCAAGTACGGCTTCTAAGTCAGTGGATTCTGAAGGACGGGATGAGCTTGAACAGCCTGTTGAGTCCGCTGAGAGGATTGATCTCAATGAAGATAACGATCCCGAGGAAACCATGGAAGAAGAGGTGGAGTATGAAGAAGTGGAGGTAGAGGAAGAAGAGGAGGAGGAAATAGAAGAAGAGGAGGAAATAGAAGAAGAGGTGGAAGAAGAAGAAGAAGAAGATCAGGATGTTGAAAATGCTGATGGGGAACTTGATGAGGATGAAAAGAGGACATATGCTGAGCTTCTTGCTCGTCCTCCTCATGGTTCTGAAGTATATATCGGAGGCATTCCACATGATATTTCTCAGGAGGATTTGAAAGGCCTTTGTGAATCTGTTGGAGAGGTTACTGAGGTACACTTTTTTTTTTTTTTCTGCTAAATGTGAAACTATTTTCCCTTTTTGAGATTAATACTGATGCATCATACTTTATGATGGTAGGTTCGGATTATGAAAGGTAAAGATTCAAGTGAAAACAAGGGCTTTGCTTTTGTGACTTTTAGAAGCGTAGAATTGGCCGATAAAGCCATTGATGAGCTAAATAATGCCGAATTTAAGGTGACAAGTCTTCTTATGCATCACTCATATAATAATATTATCCAAACTAAAAAAATGTTGCATCTCATAACTTGAAAGCAACTTACAGATTATTTGTGTATCCATCTCCGTTTTCTCTTTGGTTCTGACAACAACATTATTTGTTCTTATGTTTGGTCTTCACAATCATGTTTCTTTGGTTGCTGAGCAACTTATCAGTCTCTCTCTCAGGGTAAAAAAGTTAGGTGTTCTACTTCCCAATCAAAGCATCGATTGTTTATTGGTAATATTCCAAGAAGCTGGGAAGAGGAAGACCTGAGGAAGGTCGTGTCAAAGGTTGGGCCTGGAGTTACTGGTTTGGAATTAGTGAAGGTTAGTTTAATGGCCTTGTGTATATGTGTTGTCGTCTCTACTAGTTTATATTATTGGGTACTTGTGATCTCTAGGGCTGTTCAGTGGTAATGCCGCGATGTATTTGCTTTTGTGCTTGCAGGATATGAAGAACTCAAGTAATAACAGGGGCTTTGCCTTTGTTGAGTACTATAACAATGCATGTGCTGAGTATTCAAGGCAGAAGATGATGAACTTGGAATTCAGACTCGGTAATAATGCTCCTACTGTGAGCTGGGCTGATCCTAAGAATGCCGATTCTTCTGCTTCTTCTCAGGTATCGTATAGTTTCTCTCTTTCACTTCCCGACTTCCTGCAGGTTTCTTTTGGTAGTTTATGTTTCATGCATGTCTCATTGAATGATTTGTTCTATTTTCTTGTGTTTAAGCTGACACACATGCATGTGTCTTCCTTACTGTAATTTCGATTTGTTAGTCTAAGGTAACCCATCTTATGTAGGTAAAGGCAGTTTACGTAAAGAATTTGCCAAAGGCTGTAACACAAGATCAGTTAAAGAAGCTATTTGAACACCATGGAAAAATCACTAAAGTGGTTCTGCCTCCTGCAAAACCTGGACAAGAGAGAAATAGAATTGGTTTTGTTCACTTTGCAGAGAGATCTTGTGCCATGAAAGCACTCAGGAACACAGAAAGATATGAATTAGATGGTGATTATTGAGTTCTTATCCATTTTACATTTATTTTAGTGGATGTATTTCCGAATGTTAGTGTTCCCATTTCTCAGGCCAAGTTGTGGAATGTTCTCTTGCGAAGCCACAAGTAGATCAAAAGACATCTGGGGGGTCAAGTTCGCAGAATTCCAGTTTTCTTCCTAGTTATCCACCTCAGATCGGGTATGGTCTCATTGGGGGTGCCTATGGTGCTTTAGGTCCAGGATACGGTGTTGCAGGCATCCAGCAGGTGATATATTTCTCCATGCATATGGGTTTTCTTCATTATTGTTGTCTCTCAATACTTTACATTTGTCTGTTCATGTTTTCATTTTCATTCTATCTCTGCATTTTACTCATTCGGCATATCCGGGATATTCCCATGAGCACCTTTGGCATTTGTATAATTTATGACTAAAAGCTCCTCTACAAGATTGTCTACAAGATTAAACTCAAAGTTCGGGATGCCTGTCTCTCTATCTTGTTTTTGGTTTTATGTTAAACAATCCTTACTAATTTCTTACTTTTTCGAGTGTTGATGCTGCTTGAGGAAACGTGGCAAAAGTTCGATAGCTTATTCTTATATCTTTATTAACTATCATCCTTTGATTTACTTGGTTTTATGCTTTTTCTCTCTCTCTAGATTTTATCTGATATATATATATATATATATAATTATGTCTCCTACAGCCCTTAGTCTACGGAAGGGGAGCAACACCTACCGGCATGTCAATGATGCCGATGCTTCTACCCGATGGCCGGATTGGATATGTTCTGTAAGTTCAGTAACGTTATTTTCTTTCCAATACTTAAAACTTTTAGAAATTTGTGTCCTTGTTCTTTCCATGCAAAGCGAATATTTCAGTTCCTTTCAACCCATAGGCCATATCTATAATATGCACCCAACGATCAGACCTTGATCATCTATCGATGCAGGCAACAACCGGGAGCGCAACAACCTCAAAGCCCGCCTGTACATCAGAGACACAGTCGAGGTGGCAGCAGCAAGAGTGGTGGCAGTTCGAGCAGCAGGGGAAAACACGGTGGCAGCGACAATGGCCAGCGATACCGACCGTATTGATTTGCTCGTATTAGAATGGATTATAAGCGGTGGGATGGAGAGTTTATTTTTAGTCAAATTACCTTGCCATCTCCACAAATTGTTGATTTTTCAGCTAAAACCATAACTGCCTTAGTTCTTAAGGTGTATTATGGGGCTTCTTTTTAAAGTAAAATGTTTGTGCATGAAATGTTATTCCAGCTAAATGTTGAATCTGTATGACCTGTTTGATATTCATATCTTTATGATTACATGTGATTTCCGTGTTTTTGGTTCACGTTAAATGGTTGATTCGGTCAGACCGGTTCGAGAGTTGGACCAAGTCGAGAGTCCATAAAGGGCAGGGGACGTTACATTTGGAAGTCGCAGCAGAAATGAAATTAAATTGAAACTTTTAGAGCCTTTATAGCATATTCAGAACATGTAAGGGTCAAACTGTAATGAGCATAAAAGTAGCATGGCCATAATGTCATCGAACCAACTTAGGATTTAACCCAATTCCTTTAGGCATGTACTTTTTGCACAAACTTGTAAGTTTCAAGGTAAAAATGAAATTTTCAAATATTTTGAGGCATCGATTAATTTTCAAGGTATTAGGACCATCTTGTTACATTTTGACAAAGTTTAATGATTGTTTTGCAATTATTTCAATAATTTTTATGATTATTTTGTAAAGATTCAAAAAATTAATGATCGTTTTATAACTTCTAAATCTTCAGTGACCAAAATGATCACTTAATCAAAATTTAATGACCTATGGCGTACTTCAACCTTAAATTTTTGACAGTATGAAAATGAAAAGGTATAATGGCAAAATTAGCTTCCAATGTTTATTAAAATGATAATTTTGGCCCCTATTATTGTTTTAGCATTTGACCCTCAATGTTTTATTTTAGGTCAAAAAGACCCTTAGCATATGACTAAATAGTCCCTTTGGTCCTTATTATTTTTTCTAGAGCATTTTGGCTCTTAACGTTTTATTTTGGGAGTAAAAAGACCCCTATTTTGGAGCGTTAACCGCTCATTAACTAATGATTTTCATTCACATAGGGTTATTTTTCACCCAAAAGGAAATGTTGAGGCCAAAATGCTCTAATAAATAAAATATTAGGGGCCAAAATGACTATATAATCAAACAATAGATGTAATTTTCGACATTATGTCTATAAATAAATATAAAATAACTTTTAATCTTTGAATTTGATAATTTTTTCAAATTGGTCATATAATTATTTATTTATTTTTATTGGTTCTTGAATTTTGATATATATATTTTCATATGTTTAGTCTTTTTGATTATGTGCCACATGATATAATCCTGAAATGTCACATCACTAATAGGATTAAAATGAAAAAAATATGTTAAATTTAGGAGGCTAACGTGGACGAAAACAAAGTTCAAAGACTAAAGTCAAGGAAAAACGTAAAATTTAGGAACTAAACTCTGATTTATCCCTTATAAATAACAAAGATATCGAAATCGAACTGCTGCATTCAATTTATCAGATACCGACAGGGGGGAAATCTAGCAAACGAGCGAATTGTCTTTCGAATTTTGAAATCAATGGAATTTTCAAGGTACAATTCATCTCATTCCACGGCGCCGTCGGCGCCGGAGTTGCCTCCAGAGTCCTACGGCCACCAACAGCACCAGCCTCCGCCTCCGCAGCAGCTGAACCAATACCAAAGCTACTACGGAATCCCTCCTCCGGAGCCGGTGCCACCTCGTCCGTCGCTAAGTTATGGGCAGAGCGGTGGGTTTCCGGCAGGAACACAGCCAGATGTCGTGAGGGCGTTTCAAATGGTGGATAAGGATAGAAGTGGATTCATCGATGAACACGAGTTGCAGCAGGCGCTATCCTCGGGTTACCAGAGGTTTAATCTTAGGACTATAAGGTTGCTCATGTTCTTGTTCAAGAATCCTTATGATTCCCACAGAATTGGTAAAATTCATTCTTTTTTTCCTGCTTCATTATTTATGTATTCCCAACGTGAACTTGAAGAAATTATCTGCATAAATGAGACTTGAATCCCAGACTTAATCGCTCTGTTAATTGAGCTTCCATGGTGTTTTGCTTGTGCTTAAATGCTAAGTTATAGAGTCGAATTTGAACTGGGATAAGGCATAATCGGAAACAAGTATTTCGAGCTGGGTTTAAGCACATATAATATGTATCGAATGAAATGATTGTTGCTAAAATTTTCAATTTCAGGGCCTGTGGAGTTTGCTGCACTCTGGAGCTGCCTTGGTCATTGGCGGGTAAGTGATTAAACATTTTCTTTGATTTTTCATTTCACTTTAAATATTCATATCTAACCCTCGTTTTGACATATATTCGAACATATGTATGAAAATATAATGCTTAAAGGAACTTTAAAATATGTAGATTTGAACTTTGAATATACCTGTAACCGACATTCTTGTGTTCGAGCAACATGGTATTCGTGTTAATCGTTCAACATCTTTACTCATTTGATTAACGTTCAATGGATTCGGAATTTGTAGGCGATATTCGACAGATTTGATAAAGATAGAAGTGGGAGAATTGATTCAATGGAACTAAGGGATGCTCTGTACAGCCTTGGATATACAGTTCCACCTCCTGTTTTTCAAGTTCTAATTTCCAAGTACGATAACGGAAGTGGAAAGGTAGAACTCGATTTTGACAGCTTTGTCGAGTAAGGCTTATTTTCTCTTCATTTTTTTGTTGTAATTTTCCCCTTTTCTCCGTTCAAAGATTTGAAATGTAATCTGACTGTGTTGTTTTCTCATCTTCTGTTTGATTTGCAGATGTGGGATGATTGTTAAGGTGAAATATTGCTCTCCTTTTAGCTATTTCCATTCTTCTGGAAAAATGCTTATTGAATCAGTCGACACGAGCATGCATTCCGTGTAAAATCTGCATACACATGTTTACATTGTTTTGTCATTGTTCGATTGAAGAGCTTCTTGTATTTTTCAGGGTTTGACAAACAAATTCAAGGAAAAGGATAAAGGATATACAGGCTCGGCGACGCTTTCGTATGATTCATTTCTGTGCATGGTAATTCCATTTCTTGTTTCATATGATTGACGCCTTTGTATTTCAACCTAGATATCAAATAATCACCTTGTTTTTTTTATGACTTTGGCTTGATCAAATCCTATCTTACATTGTAACTTCTGGTAAATTTTCTGTAAAACGTTAGCATTGTTATTAGCATTTAATATAAAGGAGGTTGTGATTCTGTTCAAGGAAAACGAATCTCAGGGATTTGATCTTCAAATATCATGTGTATATATGCTATATATATAAGCACATATATTCTTTAATCATTTCTGATTTTTGGCTTATGTTATTCGGATTTAGGTGTGTGCGTCAAATAGTAGTATGTGGCTTTTGGCCTATGTTATCCGGATTTAGGTGTGTGCGTCAAATAGTAGTATGTGGCTTTTGGCCTATGTTATCCGGATTTAGGTGTGTGCGTCAAATAGTAGTATGTGGCTTTTGGCCTATGTTATCCAGATTTAGGTGCGAGTGTCAAATAGTAGTATGCAATTTTTGGCATATGTTATTCGGGTTTAGGTGCGAGTGTCAAATAGTAGTATGTGATTTTTTGGCGTATGTTATTCGGATTTAGGCCAGTGTCAAATAATAGTATGTGATTTTTGGCGTATGTTATTCAAATTTAGGTGCGAGTGTCAAATAATGGTATGTGATTTTTTGGCGTATGTTATTCCGATTAAGGTGTGAGTATGAAATAGTAGGATGTTATTTTTTGACGTATGTTATTCAGATTTAGGTGTGTGTCAAATTATAGTATGTTTAATTTCATTTCTAAATTTTTCATGTATTTGAAGTTGCTTTAAAAGGTTTTATGTCTGATTATGTGTTGGATAAACAAAAGCAGAATGAAGAGTTGGACAAACGTGTGTATTTACAACAAAAGCAAAATGAAGAATCATCGGTAGTTAGTAGAGTTATAAATGAATCGAGTTTGAACGGATAAATTTTGTTTATATTGGTTTATCTTTTTACAAGTTTATCAAGAAGTTTAAAATTTCATTTTTGTTTATTTATTTTATATTCTGTATGTTTTTTAACGTGTTTATTTAGTTTTTTCAAACATATTCGTTTAGTATGTTTCTAAACATGTTTGTGAATGTTAATCAAACATTTTTATCGATTGAACATGTATTAAAAATATATCCATATATAATAAAGAAATAAATCATAGATTATCATATTTATTATTTTCAAATAAAATCAAACATAAACATAAATATAGATATTTTAAGTATCTCTTGTAAGAAATATGAATTTAAAATAAAATAAATGAGTTATATTCAATGCAATACTTCATTTGTGAAAGTAATGTAATGATCGAAAGGTATTCATCCATAATCATGTTCTGTTCGAATTAGAGAAATAGTGTCAAATATCAATGTACTTACAAGTGTGAATCTCACAGTCCGAAGTTGGGTACGATACTCAAGCCAGCAGATAACCGTTGGCAATTTGTTTTTCGTCTAGGAGGGTGGCGTCCGGCTGATCCATCGAACCGGACACTATCTTCCCGACACATGCCGCGCAGATTCCAGCTCGGCAATCATGGAGCAGCGCCACTTCTGCATTTTCAGCTGCATCTAAAATGTATTCATCACGAGGGGCCTCAAACTCATCCATCACACCATCAAGTCCTACAAGCTTAATCTTGTAAGCTGCCATTGGTGTTCTGTGCTTGGAGGAACATTTCAAGCCAACAGGTTTAGAGACGTTGTTAGCAAATCCAAGAGATGTCGGGACCGTGACAATGGCACTAAAGAACCGATTAGGGATCGAAGCTCGAACAAGACAATGAGAAATAATCTTCGTAGTTGTCATTTTTATCCCTAAATCCAAATAACAATCGGTCAATTTGTCAAGTGATTGACATATACAATTACACACATAACGTGTTGTTTAGATTCTTTACTTTTTACGAAACATCTGTGTCCTGAATAACTTATTACACATATGATAACATTATACAATTACACATATTTATATTTATCACTGTACCGAATCTGTGTTATAATATACGTTAACCACCGCAATTTCCAGTCCTCAATTAAAAAAAAACTGAAAATTCAACTAAGAAACTTGTAAAAGATCAAAGAAGCAGAGAGAGAACCTAATAGTGATGGTAATCGGCTCAGCACTCGTAAGAGTGAGAAACTTGATTCTGCTGTGTTAGTGTTTTAGGGGTTTAGGATTTTGGTATTTGGTATTTGTCAAAGAGCAAATATAAAGGAAAGTTTTTAATACAAGTTAGCCCCTGAACTATATCATATTTTTTAATTAACCCTTAATTTTTTTTTTGTAAATAGTTCTCTGAATTTTGGTTTTTTCCTCTCAATTCAGTCCAAAAACCTAACACGGTTAATAAATATGGGTAGGCCAGAATAAGAACATGACACATTCCATATAAACATGTCACTTTACCATTGAATTTGAAACGAAATTTAATTGTAGTTTGATATAATAATAACTTTATTCTTAAAATTTATACGTTTTTATCAGTTTAATCTTAATTTGAAACAATTTAATAAATTTAATCTTTCATGTTTAAGAAAAAAAATCAACTTAATCTTTCTTTTATGATAATATCAAACCAAATGAATCAATCAGATCAAATAACAGTTGGATATCTGTTGAAGCCAAAAGATTTAGAAATGATCTTAAGAGATCCAAGAGATGACGGATGGCAGTCATGAACCGGTTTGGGGTCAAAGGTCGAACAATACAAGGGGAAGTAGTCGTCATCTTTACTCTTGAACCCGATTAGCAATGGTCAGTCTGTCATGTGGTTAATATATACGAACATACATACGTACGTGCGTATAAATATAAAATCCAAGCAAATAACCATAATAAAACGATAAATTAAAAAACCAAGAGCATTTAGAAGGATTAACAAATGCAAACCAAAGTAGAGCTTTATTAGTTTCCATCCAACATACATTGTGGATATGCACAGATATTTGGGAAAAGACGAAAAAAGTTCCGACCTGCCGGATTCGAACCAGCGACCTAAGGATTGCTATGTGCACCACTACAGTCCTCCGCTCTACCAACTGAGCTAAGGTCGGCTTCATTTATGGTTGAAATATTTATGTTTTATTTGTATTTTCTAATACTTCCTTAATACAATTTATTTAAATGATAAAACGCACAAAATTGTACACGAAATAATCCATTTTGATTGTAAATTTATTTGGATAACATGTATAGGAAATTTCATAGGTATAACAAAATATCGTAAATGTTGAGATCAATTAATTGATCGAGCCCAGTTATGCCATGCAATAGAGGTACGCCATTTGTTACTTGGAGCAAGGGTAGCTTCGGTGGAGCGAGCAATACTGTTGAAGACCAGATCATTACGACCTTTCCAGATATGCCATGCAATAGAGGTACGATTAAGCATGTGTATCTCTTAAGGGAGAAAAAAACCAAAAAAAGAAGAAGAATATTAACTGGATTAAACAAACAAAATTGCTGAATTACATACACATCATATATTAGTATAAATGAATCATAATTATCCTTGCTTGATCAAAGTGTATCAAATGGGCTGGCTGCTAAAGGGAAGGGTACAAAGACTATCAAAATGCAAATTTCAAGTCTGAGAGGTCATCCATTGGTATTTCTAAACCTATTGAATCATGGTCTTGCAGACCATCCTCATCAAAGTTTAGCCATGAAATCAGATCTTGGGGGCCACCTATCTCATTCGAAACACCCAATTCTTCCATCGGATCCAGCTCTGTTAGTTGCAAATTTGCGAAATCAACAGGCTCGTCTGCTTCTTTAGATGCATCCGGACGAATGTTACTCACTCCTCTCTCGACCATCTTGCTAGTATTACCCAAAGGAGGTAGTGAAGGATCGGAAAGCCTGCCATTGAATCCATGCCCTGAATTACCCTTTTGCTTAGGCTTTGATTTTGTTATCCGGTCACCTTTGGCACCATCCAGTGATGCCCCACCAGCCCCAGATACCGAACTCATATTTCTTAAATTATCTCTGCTCTGCTCCCTCTCTCTTACACTTCTATTTCCTCTTAGTCCTCCGGTGGTGCCGTCAAGAGCAGGTGCTACCCTAGAAGAAGCACTTCCAACAACGTCATCAATCAGTACTTCCCTCTTCCTTCCTTTGTTCAACATAGATCCGTACTTGGACATGACATGCTCCGACGAGTGAACAGCCTGAGCAGCTTCTGGAGAATCGTACCTCTCAAAAGTACTACAAACAGCACCTGAGGCAGAAGAGAGATTAACATAAATTTTCCTACCCTTCAAAAATGCTCTCAATGACTAAATAAATTCCAAAATCCACAAGCTTTAACAGCATATTATAGCGCTATGTTTCTTAGTGCCTTCACTCTTTTCTCGAGTATCTGACACATTCAAACATGAGTTATAATACACGAATAAACTTACAGAATCTTCACATACACATGTCGGACGAACACAACAAACTTGAGTTGAAGTAACATGAAATTTATTTTCGCACGTACCTGAGCCCCTGGCTTCTGCTTGATGGTTAGATGTTTCATTGCAAGTATTACTGGCAGTTCCAGAGCCAATACATTCAACAGATTTTGCTTCGTTACTGCTTGGCTGTACAGAAAACATGACATCTTGCAATGCAGGTTCGCTAAAGCAACTGTTGCCCGACTCTTCAAATTTTCGACATCTACCAAGTGTTCGCTTGATAAAAGATAATGCAACTTGTTTTGAAACCTTACGAACTGCGCTTTTCGATGAATTACCCCCACGACAAGCCTGCATAAATCGTTTGTAGTAAATGAATTAAGCATAAATGGCTTTAGTTATTAAATAGAAACAGTAACCACACCCGGAATCTGAGAATTACCAAATGTTTTTTGTTAGCCATTTGTATTAGTTGGTCCATTGCCTCATGCTCAATGTTCCTGCAGATTACACCGCATTATTCTAGTTGAAGCACCATTTAATAAGAAGGCTATTAACAACACTAGAAGACAACTCTCTATCTCACCTTCTCTCTACTTCTCTCCCATTCTGAATGGCTTTATCAATCTTCCCCAACTTTTTCTTCTTTTTCTGGATCTACAAATCAGTAAAATAAAGCGTTCAAATCTGCCGAAATGCAATTTAAAAGCAAAAGACAGCTAAAAGGTTTTACATCAAACAATGAAATTTCATTTTAGCAAAAATAAGAATATATATATGAAACAAGGCTAATTTTAAAAATAAGCTCAAATAGTCCAAGTAGAAGATGTTTTTGAAACAAGTTATGGACAGAAACCTGTTGATAAAGATGTTCATTAAGTTCAACAACATTTTGATTTATTGCTTCCTCTTCCTCTGTCAAATCAGGCTGCAAAAAATGAAAAGGAAAATCATATAAGAGTGAAGTACAAAGACATTTGACATCAAATAGACAGAAGTGTGAAAGAGAACTCACCAAAGTCTCTGGATAAAGACCAATACTGTGTAGCTCCAGCAAAAGCTTGTCCTCCATAGACATAAACTGGTACTGGCCATCTGACAAAGAAATGGCAGAAATACTTATTTCCTTAGGTTGAGCCTGACCCAGGTCGGTTGAACATATTTCACTCACAGGCCCCATATCTGAATGTGAAAATTCATCATCTCCCGACCACCTTTCACTACTATGTAACGAATTAGACATGCCGGAATTCCTAAATGTGTTAGAAGCAACACTCGCATCATAAGAGAGTCTATCTAACAGAGAGTTCTTCTGACACTGAAAATCTGCGTTCGACTCAACTTCAGACTCTATCCTGTCCCTATCTTTAGGTTCAACATCCATATGGTTACAAGAATCACAATGGGAATCATCACTTGCATAGTGAAGGGACATATTCTTAGCTTCAATGTGGTTGTAAATTTCTTCACTTTCATCTTCTTCTATCAAAGCAGAAAGAACTCTTTGGCATAAAGGAGTAACCTTGTCAAACTGTTTTAGATCCAATCCACCAGTTGCGGTGTTAGTTTTGACAATTTCTTCAACAGAACTACGTGCATCTTTTGGTGTCACACCACCCTGAGAAATGAAAGGAATTTGTATCAATATTTGCCAACAAAATTTTAGCTTAATTTCCATCCAGGCAGCTATCCCTTTTGCGGTTTTTGGATCTCTTAAAAAGATCTGGTTTACGGAGAAATACATAAGATGATGGAGCCTACCAAAACAGTATATCCATCTCCAAACATCTGAGACAAACTCTCATCAAGCCCTTCTGCCAAATTTATCTGTTCCAACATCAAAATAATAGATAAGGAAACTGTGATTAAAAAAAAATCCCAAAGTGTCAATGCGTCAAAAGCCTGTTAGTAACCCTACGGTACCTGTTGTCTAAGGAATGATGTTTCCTCAGAGCTGACAGAATTAAAAATTGATCCCATTTTCTTCCAAAAAGGACCAGAACAAGCAAGACCTATCAAACCAAGTAACAGGTAAGACTATATGCCACAACTAAAAGCTCAGTTCTCAAAAGGCATTTTTCTTTTATTTATTTCTCTCTTTTGGATGGGGATGGGGCAATCATTCGAGAGAGATACATACTAGTAGCAAATCGAGCAGAAGTGGCAGCTGCAAATAGTTCATCATGATCATCATCAGATTCACCTGAACATGCCATCCCAAACACTTCATTAGGAAAAATATAACAGGAGCTTTCATGGATCTTAAACGTCTTTAGTACACAAAAATTTAGAGGTATATGCATGCAGAAAGTGTGAATCTAAAACTCATTCCAAACTTGACTATCACATAAACAAAAAGACACTGTCCATTAAAAGAAATATTAAATCCGTACAAGCACACAAATATTACATGTTGACAA